AGAGAGAGAGAGAGAGAGAGAGAGAGAGAGAGAGAGAGAGACTGGAATCGGCTGGAGGAGAGCGGGAGCCAGGGATCTACCGGTGAGGTTGCTCTGTAACTTGTAAAATTGTAAAGTCGCATGCATCGGGGCGAGGGACGCTCGTGTTCTGCAGTCGAGCGTCATTAGTGAATTCTCGCGGAGCCGAGATTCGCTGCATTTTGGTGTAACATATCGTTTAGTGGGACGCTCGGCGACAAGCACGAGAGACTCCCAAGCTCCCGGATAGTCGGCTATCGGGGAATTAACGTAGACTTGGAGTTGCGGGCCTCTTGGAGATCGGGATAGCTGAGAGCGAAAAAGCCTGTGCACGCGTGATGCACGTTCGCGAGACGGCAGCGCGAGAGCGAGCGTTCAGGGGCAATATTTGTTTTACCGGTTTTCGTTACCGGTTGCACAGCAGTTGTATTAGATTTTCGCGTGGATTTACGGCGTAAACGCCGTGTGCTGTTCTCGTCCATAATTGTTCAAATTAAGAGCCCCGGAACGCCGATCTCGTGCGGGACTGCCGTTATATGTGATATTGTAGATCGACGTTGGTGTGAGTGAGACGGCGCGAGTCGCGCGCCCTTGCTATGTAAAACGCGGTCGACGTTGTATTGAGTCGTAAAGAATCGTCATATTATTCGTTTGGTGTGTTCTCGTGTATGGCAGTACGCCCGGCGCGTGCCGACTGATATTCTCGCGTGAATTTTAGTGACTCTGCATGATGTTGTATGCAATCTTCGAGATTATTTTTAGTCACCTTGCGATGTTGTTTTGCGAACTTAATTTTCGAGAGTCCGTATTCGCGGAGGGATTGTAAATTATATCGCGTTCGCTGATTTGCTGTAATTTTGCTACGGATTTCTCGCGTCATTGGATATTGTCGTCGTTAGTATTACGAGATACTTTGTTCTTGCGCGCATTTGATGGCTGTAATTTTTGTTTAGCCAAGAGCATAATTTTTCTTGCGGGTTCGCAGCGCTCTAGTTTATTTTGTAATTTTTTGTTTGTCATTCTTTCAACGCGCTGTCAACGCACTATTACCGAGTCATTTATTTTATTTTTTTTTGTTCTTAATAAATCCGCTTATTGTTACTTTAATACTGAGAGTATGATTTTTGGGTTCGCGGCGTAATCTTTCCTCCTAAATTTCCCTGTATCAACGCAGCCCTTGTCTTTTCCCAAGACCCTGCCCCTCTACCGTTGATTGAGCTGGCCTAGCCGCGTAAGAGCGAGAATTTCCGGGATTTTCGCGTATGTTTCGCGTTTGGGTAGTGTCGTATTGGAAATTCGAATTTTTCGCGAGGTCGACGTCGCCTTTAAGGACGTCTGGCGCCCAACTTTCGCGTTTCGCGATTCTCGCTCGATCGCTTTCGCCTCCGTTATTGTCATTATTCGACTGATCGGGCTCATCATTTCTTTCGACTTGCGACGCGCAAGCGAATAACGTCGCTACATATATGGCAGAAATGATACGTTAATTTTGAAACTTTTTTTGTTAATAACTTTTTAACGGACAGTGACCGCCACCTAAAACCTGGGGGAGGTTACTCAGGGTCATGACCTTGACAACATATGTCAAGGTCAAGATCATCGGGGGGGGGGGGCTCCCTTCTCTATATATTTACCAAAAATTACATTATATCAAACCTCATAAAAAAGGTTGTATTACTCTAAAAGAGTATTCTAATTCTGAGGAATGTAGAGGATGTAAATTATTTTTACGTTTAAGAAAATAAATTTTGATACCTTGTCGACGATAAATATTTATTGATTTTTTAATTATAAGAAAAACTCCCAATTTCTCAAAAAATATTGTAAAAATATCAAAATTATTTATTATATTGAGAATAAATAAAAAAATTGTAGATCATGACAAAATCATGATTTCATATTATTCCATTGCGTAAAAAATACGAAATTAAAAAAAAATTAATTCGAAAAAAAATAGAAGGAAAAATTTGCCCACGACCAAATTAGTCTTAAAAAAAATCATCAAATAAATTTAAGTTTTTATGAGAATTTTTTTAAAAAAATTAAAAGTGTCTTACTTTAAAAAATTAATAATTTTTTACATTAAATTACAAAAAAAATTGAAAAACAATTTTTAAACTTTTCTTGATATTTTTTTTTTGAAAACTAGAGAAAAAACACAATTTAAAAAAAAAAACGTTTTGTTTGAATTATTTTTCGCAAAATTATAGGCATTTGAAAAATGCGAATTTTGAAAAAAAATCATATCTCATGACTACGTTGATAAAAAAATTTGAAAAAAATTATGGTAGCTTCTTGCGATGGGTACAATAATATATCAAAATTTCAGCCAAATATAAAGAATCCAAAAGTTTTGAGTGGCCCACTTGGCATGGAATGACCCATATGTAATATATGTAATATATAATATATACAGTGATGGGAAAAAGTCCCGTAACGGTCAAATATTTAAAAAATCATTGGTTTAAAAAAAAACGCTGAAGCACGTGAAACGATTTTTCAAAGAATCTATCTTTTGAGGGGGGTTACGACCCCCCACCCCTAAGGGGGCACGTGGGGCACGAGGGGGGTCGAAAATCTTAAATGGCAACATAGGTCGAGTGGGGGCTCATTGGAAACGTCTTTTCGAGACGAATCCAAAACACTAAGCATAGACGGGTGCTGCGTTCACTTTTGGCGGGAAAATTCAATTTTGACAATTAGAAAATTTTGAACATTTTGAAAATTTCAGGGGTGGCAATAGTAACTTAGCGAGGTTTTAACTGCAATTTCAAACATCCTGCAATATGTATGATTGCATTACGTGGGAGGCAAGAACACTCGTATAATTTCAACTAAACTGAATTTATTATCTTGTTACAATGAGCAATGTACAGAAGTAAATTATATCAATTTCGCGCCGACTATAACTCGCACGGGTAAATCACGTGCGATCACACTATGTGTGTAATGCGATCCCCCCTTCCCGGTACAACGCCAGAAATTGATTATTGATACGCACGCATAACAGGTTGGTTTTCTATCGGTTGTATCGAAAATGCGTTTGACTGATACAGAGCGTATTCATGTTCTTATAATGCGAGGATGTGGTGATAAAATGAGATCCTATGAAGAAGTTGCCACGCTGTTTAATAACACATTTCCAAATCGTGATCCTATTTCAAAATCTTCTGTCCATCGTACTGTTTTACGATTTCAGAGAAGTGGTTCAGTTATTGACGAACGAAGATCGGGTAGACCAAAAACAGCTACTAACGATGACGTGTCTATGCAGGTTCTCCAAAATATTATTGAAAACCTGCACAATCCTCCTTCGAGAATAGCTCAGGAATATGATATCGATCGAAAATCCGTTACAAAAGTTTTAAAGTCACACGGTTACCACCCGTTTAAAATACGACTCGTCCAAGAACTCTCTGAAGATGACTATGACAGAAGAGTAGAGTTTTACGATGAAATGATGAAGAGATATGACGATAACAATCAATTCTTCAGTTGGATTTGTTTTTCTGACGAAGCTACTTTTGAACAGAGCGGATCTGTCAATCGTCAGAACATGCGATATTGGGCGGATGTTAATCCTCATTGGATGAGAGATTCGCATACTCAACACCCACAAAAACTGAATGTTTGGGCAGGAATTATTAGATAAAATATTGTTGGGCCGTTTTTTATCGCAGGGAACATAAATGCTGAGAATTATCTTCATCTATTACGAACGCAAGTGGTTCCACGTATCCAAGAAATTCTTGGATCTGCTTTTGAATAAGTTTGGTTTCAACAAGATGGAGCCCCAGCTCACTTCGCGGTAGTTACTCGAGATTACCTTAATGAAGTGTTTCCTAATAAATGGATTGGTAGAAGAGGATCGATTGAATGGCCGCCCAGATCACCGGACTTATCACCGCTGGACTACTTTTATTGGGGATACTTGAAGAGTAAAGTGTTTGAGACAAAACCTGCCGATATTAATGAATTACAAGCAAGGATAAAAATGTTTCTAATTCAATCACACCAGAAATGTTGCGAAATATTCAGGAAAGTATTTACATACGTATGGGTCACTGCCAAGCAGTGCACGGGCAACAGTTTGAACACTTAATACATTAAATACAACACACACACACACACACCCACGCACACCCACGCGCACCCACGCGCACCCACGCGCCCGCACGCACGCACGCACGCACGCACGCACGCACGCACGCACGCACGCACGCACGCACGCACGCACGCACGCAAACAGGTGACGGCAAGGGGAACCACCTGAACAAAGCACCCCAAAGAGATGTAATAGTGTGATCGCACGTGATTTACCCGTGCGAGTTATAGTCGGCGAGAAATTGATATAATTTACTTTTGTACATTGCTCATTGTAACAAGACAATAAATTCAGTTTAGTTGAAATTATGCGAGTGTTCTTGCCTCCCACGTAATGCAATCATACATATTGCAGGATGTTTGAAATTGCAGTTAAAACCTCGCTAAGTTACTATTGCCATCCCTGAAATTTTCAAAATGTTCAAAATTTTCTAATTGTCAAAATTGAATTTTCCCGTCAAAAGTGAACGCAGCGCCCTCTATGCTTAGTGTCTTGGATTCGTCTCGAAAAGACCTTTCCAATGAGCCCCCACTCGACTTATGTTACCATTTAAGATTTTTGACCCCCCTCGTGCCCCACGTGCCCCCTTAGGGGTGGGGGGTCGTAACCTCCCTCAAAAGATAGATTCTTTAAAAAATCGTTTCACGTGTTTCAGCGTTTTTTTTTAAAACCAATGGTTTTTTAAATATTTGACCGTTCCGGGACTTTTTCCCATCACTGTATATTTATAAAGGTTATTTAATATACTTTAATGTATAATATGTAATTTATATATCGTATAATTTTTATAATGTATAATTTATAATACACTGTCTTTATGAATCCACGAATTGTGTGATTTGTCAAGTCCCAACCATTTCACATAAACCTCGTTTCCCCTTTTGCGCATCATTTTTTCAACAAGGTATACATCGGGATTAGCGACGCGATGCAGTTCGTATTCATAGAATCCTCCAGCTATGAGCTCTCCGCGGGAATCCTCCAGTAGATACGTCACTGGATTAGTTTGCTGCACTTTGATAATTTTAAAGACCTCCGTCGTCCAGTTCGGTGTGAAACTTTTTTCAAATATTGTCTTGAATTTGCTCACGCATACCGTATCGCCTACTCTGAATTTTGCGGGACCGGCGATCTTTATCGCACTATACACCGTACCCAGGAGTCTTTCAAATCTTGAACACTCTGCTGCACGTATTGTTTGTTTGCTGCGTCAGTATCCTCCACTGGTACCGCTAAACGTCGAATCTTACGCGACTTTGCATCAAAGTCGGTTGCAACTTGACAAAGAGCGTTATCGCGCACGTAATTTCTGAACAATCCACGCTACTGATAGTGCGATTCGCTTCCTCCTCCGAGCGACAGTCCAATCTTGTTGATCGACATTTCGATGTCGACTGATCGACGTGTATAGATCGCGATCAATTTATAATCAGTTCGGCTTCGCGAAGTTCTTCGATAATCGATAGAATCTCGTTTTCGTGGCCGTTGTGACCTGCTTCACGCGACGCTTCGAGCAATCGAAGACGGTCTACAAGTTCTTTGGGATCGTCCCAGTGTACGTAATCAATCCTGTTGTCGGTTAATGACATGGCGCACGGCAAATCGAGTTTTTTCTTTATACCGGTCCCAACCTTTTTACCCAACACCAATGGTGCGATGATGTTCTTGTACTTGTGTCCCTTGTTACCCAATACTTGATTACCAGCGTTATGACCACGTCGATAAGCGTTTGTTGTCAACAGAATGCTCTTGTAAGTCTGTACGTCGTCATCACTGCATATACTTTTGTTGGAAAATTTCATAAAGATCAATTCGTACGGTCCCGGTGTTCCATCGTATCTTTGTCCATCTATAATTATGTCATCGTTTTTGCTTAAGGTGATACGTTTGTCACCGAGCATCGTTCCCTCGTCGCCAAAGTTAACTCCATACACGACGTCTATGTTGATGGCTTTCTTACCGCTCAAGACCGCTTTCAGATATTTCTGTCCCAAAGGACCATAGTTTGCATATAGTTTTTCTTGCCCCTCGGATGTTTGAAGCAGATGTCGGATGGATGTTACGAGCGGTTCATTGACAATCTCGAATACTTCTTCGACGGATGGAGCGTGGTCGTATGATAACTCACGCGATCCTGTTATTTCAGACATTTCGTTCAAAGTGGATGGTACAGTTATAGATCTATTCAACACTGATATCACAGGCGTGGACGCCTGTATAGGACTATCGTACGAAGCGTTCGGTCGTTTTCGCTTCGGTTTCGGTTCTTCGTCTTTCTCCGAAAAGAATGTTTCAACGTTGATGGGATCCTTCGGTGATTCAACAGTGTCTTTGACAATTTGTTTCAACGGTTCGGTAATAGGTTTAAAGTGTCTCTCCAACGCGATCTCCTCCTACACTTCACCAGTTTTCAAAGCGCGATACTTTTTACGAATTGAATCGCTCGTTTTCGCAATCTCCATGGCTATCTTCTCATGATCTTTGTCGCTGTCCATGTTGCACAGTCAGCGTATCGATGACAACTGATCGCTTCACGGTACCGCAAAGTCATTAAATCCTTTTCTGTATCGTCCGTTAGCAAGCGCACTGTCCTTATCAATTACGAGAAATCCATACTTTTGCTGCCAACATTTACGACACAAATCGCAGAAATCTTCGTATAGCATGTCGGTATTGACATGATCGTTGTACACGCGTTTCAGGTTGGTTCCATCCTGCTTAAACAGAATCAACAGATTTGCATTGTCGCGTATAAGATGCTTCGGTAACTTTGCATAAGTTTGACAGAGATAGAAGCAGTCAACGTTCGCGTGGCGACCCATTGCAAAATAATCTCTTATCGCTTTTTGCTTGCCGCATGCCACGTCATCAAAGATAAAGATTGAATTCGGAAGCGCCCCGCTCGGTGGAATGATCTCGCTGTTATTGGAGAATGTAAAATAGTTTATTTCTTCGATCGGTGCTAATAAATTTTCGAGATATCGATACTTTGGCTATTGCAGAGATTTCGAGTAGACGTATACATTCTCGAAGCGTACACCGTTCGAGCTCCCGAGCAAGCTTATGAGAACGTTGGTTTTACCGCAGTTCGATGGGCCGCAAATGATTGCGCGAATAGAACTTGGCAGCATGATGCCATGCTTGCGCATCACTTTATTGATTTGCACTTTACCGTCGAGATTCGTCACATTGATAGACTGCGACTGATGCACGAACCGCATATTTTCTCGTTTCACAAGAAATTGGAAAAGATGTCGCGAGCGGGCCTATTTATAGAGCTACGTAGAGCGTAATCGCTCAGTAATCAAAATGTTCCTCATCGTGTCGAATGACTTAACCTCCAAAGAATTGGAATATATATCGAAAATTGTTCTATTGCGAGAGTTTGAGAATTGTATAGATTTTGTGTGGGATAGACTACCTGAGCATATACGAATCGAGTCGATTCGGAGGTACAACGACACTGTCGGTGTCTGAAGCATTACAATTTGCCGAGTCATCAAACGCATATCGACGGTCCAGCGCCGTTGATAAAGAATTGTAGCGAATGCCGTCGAGAGGCAGAGGTTTGTTAAATAAAGCGATAAACGCGCTTCCTTTCGAACTGCACATTCCCGGTTACCAGTTTTGTGGACCGGGGACGCGTTTGGAGAAACGATTGGCTAGAGGCGACAAAGGTATTAACCTATTGGACACGGCGTGTCGCGAACACGATATAGCGTATTCGCACAACAACGGTCTCGCTGAACGGCACGGGGCTGATAATATACTCGCTAAAAAGGCGGGGAAACGCATTACCGCGAGAGATTCGTCTCTCAGAGAGAGCCGCCGCCACAGCTGTTTGGCCGGCTATGAAGGCTAAAACGAAGATGGGTATGGGCTTGAAAACAAAGAAGCGAAAGAGTAAGAGGATACTTCCGATAGCGAAACGCGGCGGTATCCTGCCTGTTCTTCCGCTGTTGGGCGTCCTCGGGTCGTTGGTCGGTGGAGCGGCGGGAGTCGCCAAGGCTGTAAATGATAGCAGAGCAGCGGAGCGTCAGCTGGAAGAAATGCAACGTCATAATCGCGTCATGGAAGGTCACGGTGTTTATCTCGCTCCCTACAAGCGTGGACGAGTAGTAGAGAGAAAAAAAAAACGTCGATGAGACGTTAAAAATACCAACGGGTGTAACTACCAACGTTCAACTGCTACAACTTGCAAAACGTATGCGCATTCCGTATTTCAGAGGTATCTTTATGCGTACGACATTACCAGTGGAAGGAGTACATCGAAACGAGAGCGGTATCGTGAATCTAGACCATGCAGAGGGACCCGGTACGCATTAGGTAGCGTACGCGAAAAGGGGGAATCGTGTCATATATTTCGACAGTTTTGGTAACCTACGGCCACCGAAGGAACTCGAGCGATATCTAACAAACTGTGTAATCCAGTACAATCACATACCTTATCAATGTTACAATCAGAGCAATTGCGGAGTTCCAGTACAATCACATACCTTATCAACGTTACAATCAGAGCAATTGCGGACAGTTGTGTCTACAATTTC